CAAATGAATGGATAAAGAAGATGTGGTATACATACACACACACTGGAATATTACTCAGCTATAAAAAAGAATGAAATTTTACCATTTGCAACAACATGGATGGAGTTGGAGGATATTACATGAAGTGAAAGAAGTCAGAGAAAGACAAATGCTGCATGATAACTCATATGTGGAATCTAAAAAATACAAGAAACTAGTGAATATAACAAAAAAAGAAGCAGACTCACAGATACAGAGAACAAAGTAATGGTTACCAGTGGGGAGAGGGAATGGAGGAAGGGCTATTTAGATGTGGGAGATTAAGAGGTATGAACTATGTGTATAAAAAAAGCTACAAGGATATATGGTACAACACAGGGAATATAGCCAATATTTTATAATAATCATAAATGGAGTATAGCCTTTAAAAATGTGAATCACTATATTGCACACCTCTAACATATAATATTGTATGACAGCTATACTTCAATTAAAATAAAACGATTAGAGGAAAAAATAATTTGTGCTATGGTATTTATGTTCCTTTAGATCAAGCTCTGAATCAAAATTTTTATCCTATTAAACTGATCAAGCCAATATTTATGTTCACTTGTTTTAAGGCATTTTATTTTTAGAGAAAATGTATAATTGAATGGAAAGCATGTAATAATCTTTGACTCAATAAAGCTTGTGAGGGTCTGTGTTGAAGTTGTGATGCAGACGGTTGTCTTAAGCTGTAGGCAGTTCCTGGGAAGAACTACATTGCTATGTCATACATTCATTCATTCATTCATTCATTCTACAAATAGGTGCCTGGTAAGTGCCAAACTGTAAAACCAAGCCTACAAAGATGGGCCAGGTATTCTATGGCTTAAAGAAGGGTTTGTCTGACAGCAGTGTGTGGGACAGCCAGAGGAAGTCTCGAGGACTGGAGACAAGGGACTGGACTCTGGTCAAGGCTGTCATCCCCAGACCTGGGGGGCAGGTGAAAAACACGGCCCTACTAATACAGACTTCTAGTGGGGAGAAGATAGAAATTTTGATTTTGAAAGCCCTCTGCAAAGTGTGCTTGCAGCCAGGATTGTGACCTTGGAATGAAAGGGCTTTTCCAAGGAGGAATGAGGGTAAAGAAATACGTCAGCAAGGGCTGAGAACTAACACATAAACTATGGCTTTGAATGGCTAGAATTCCATATGGAGATCATTTGGCATAACACTGAGAGTTGATTCCTGCATAAAGTCTTGAATGTCACATCAGGAGATAGGCAAACAAAGCTCTCAGTTCTGCTGAATGCAGAAGGCTTAATTTAAATGTATCAGCCCTTCAGAAATAGTAGGCGAGGAAAATAGAAAGATTGTATGCATCCAAATAAAAGCATTTGTTCCTGTGGACGGAATAGTTCTAAGTTAACGTAACAGGAGTAAAACCAAGTGACTTAGGTAGTGACCTTCTAACCAAAGCTAGTGAATATCTCACTACTGGCTAAAGCTTTATGTCCATTTCCAAATTGCCTGATTGGAGCCCAGGGAGTCTAGTTTTGATGGATTTCATTGATTATAATCTACTTTCCAAACTTTCTTCTTTTCAGTTCGAAACCCAGAAGGACAGATAAAGCTTTATTCCAAAGGAGCAGACACTGTTCTGTTTGAAAAACTTCATCCATCCAACAAAGACCTTCTGACTTTGACGTCAGACCATCTCAGTGTAAGTGCCTCTATCTTAAGGTTAGCACAGTGACCCTTTGGCCACTTCCTATAGTTAGGTCTTATTTTTAAAATACCAGCTAAATGATTTGACTTCTGAGATGGAAAGCATGTGGGGAATAATTCCATAGGAAACTCTGCCAGTGAATGTGGAAGCTGGCCCATGGACCCGCCCCCTGCCCTGCTGAGAGTCTGGTCAGTCTCATCACAGGTGGATTAATACACAGCAGCTGGGAAGTAGCCACTGAGTGTGGGCTCCTGAACTCCAACCAGGAGAAGCTCAAGACACCAAGGGGAACCTCTCTAACTCCCCTACAGTTTGTGGCTGTTCCTCTTGGGAGAAGAGGCTGGTTTAGGGAAAAGGAACAGGAGAGTTGCTTTCCCATGGGTTTTGATGTGTCTGGTACCCGTGGAGTCTCTTAGGGTTACCCCCAGGAAATGGTTTAGGGTTACGTTTATGTGGTGAAGGGAAAATAATCTCTGTAGCCAACTTTCTCTTCTAAGGGTCCTTTTATTCAGGTCATAAATCATGCTGAGTTACTAATGTTCTCTGGGTTGAAGCTACCAGATACATACATCCTGAGACTATCCAAAAGCTTTGTAAAGGGAGCCGAGATGATCTTTGCAAACAGTAAGAGTCTGTGAATTAATATAAACATTATATGAACATCCTGAGATTATGCATAGTTTCTTTCTAAAAGCTTTCTAAAGGGAGCAGAGATGATCTTTGGCAAAAAACTTTTTTTTTTTTTTACAAAGAGTAAGAGTCTGTGAATTAATATAAACATTACATGATTTAAACTTGAGATTCAAGGCTCTCTCTAGTATGTGTTTGAGGCTCTGTTTAACCTAATATGAACTTGAGGGCAACTGGTTAAAACTCTTATTTCCTCCTTGGTTTCTCTCCTTTAAAAAATTATTGAGGATTCATGTTCTTTGTTAAGCACTATATTTAATACAAAATATTCCCTGAATCTTTAAAAAATAAACAAACAAATAAAAACCTCTGTCTAACTTTAAAGAATGATGGTTTGGTAATATTGGTTACAAACACAGTTATTGTTTTTGTCTTTCCAATAGAGCATTCTTGATTTTCTTTTAATCTCTTCCAGAAGTCTAGCATGGTCTTTACAAATTTTTTTTTTATGAAAACAACAGTGGAATAATAAGTATTTGTTTTTGCCATTGCTCAAACACCAAGGCCCTTGATTTTCATACTAAAGTATAGGAAGTCTAATTTGATCTTTTTACATTTCTATACAAAAGACATTTTTTTTCAGGTACTATCAATTCAACTTGCTTTGACTTCATTCACTTTATTCATTTTTGACTTCTAAATTCTGAGGTTTTAAATTTATATTTAATTACTAATTTTGAATTGTTTAATGATAGGAAATGACCTTGCTCAAATGCCCATTTAGGATTCAACTTGTGATTCATGCACTAATTAAATAACTTAAATCATCTGCCCCCTTTTGTAGTGTCATCTTAGAATTGATTCACTGCTGAGCAGGAAAGAGGAAGGCGCGGGTAATGCCCAGTGGGGTTGCAAGTTAAAGGCAGAGAAGTGTTTGTGCGAATTAAGAGGACAAAAGATCATTATAAGGCAGTAACTAGATTTTCAAATCAGTAGGGGACCCAGTGGTGGTCTTGGAAGGGAGAGCTTAAAAAATATGATTACAGTATCCAAAGTGCTACCAACTGCTTACAGGATAGATTTGGTTTATTTTTCTCATGGTGTCTCTGGGCTAAACCACATCCTTGCAATATGCACGGACTTCTCTTTCCATTTACCCACCTAGGGTGTGTCATGGTTTAATTTGTGCCTGATCACAAACCTATGTCTGTCCCGTAAGCCAGAGCACAATGGAGGAGACTTGCTCAATGGCAATGCCCAAAGGAGCAGAAACCCTTATAAAAATGCCTGCGGTGTAAAGGCCCATAAAATGACCACCACCGGAGGCCTAGGCGAAGTGGGAGGTTTTTAGTATTTCCCCAAGCATTGGGCATATGTTTCCAAGCTATTGTGGCCGTGTGAAACACTTAGCAACTACCAGTCTCCTGTTTTTATTTACTTATTTGTTTTCCCGTTAGAAGGATGAAGCCCCAGAGGTATCATTTAAGATTGTCAGTTTACTGAGACACTAAAGGAAGAGTATGATCCTCTAATAAATTTGACTTCTATTTGAATAAATTCAATACTGACTCCATAGAAAATAATTTCTAAAAAATATACTGATGTTTTAAAACTAACTTGACTTGAGGGTCTCTTTAAAACTTTAAACAATTTTATTATTAAAATTTGACTTTATAATTTTTTTTAATTTGAAATTTTTATATCGTTTTTGTTACTTTTCATTTACTGTTATTAGAAAATATTGGCTGTATTCCCCATGTTGTACAGTACACCCTTGAGCCTGTCTTACCCTCCCCAGTTTCTGCCTCCCTCTCCCCAACCCCGTATTGCCCCCTCCCCCTCCCCGTATTGCCCCTCCCCTTTCCCCACTGGTAACCACTAGTTTGTTATCTGTATCTGTGAGTCCACTTTTTTTTTTATTACATTCACTAGTTTCTTGTATTTTTTAGATTTCACATGTAAGTGATATCATACTTTGTCTGGCTTATTTCACTTGGCAAAATTAGGCTTTAATCTAGCAAAAAACAAAAACAAAAAACTTTACAGAAGCTCTGGGATAAAAAGTAAAAGTCAGCCTTCACTTCTAGGACTATTTCCCAGAAGCAAACATTTATGTTAACTTTTCAGCCTTTCTCTCTCCTTTTCCCCAGGGGTTATTATTATAACCTTAATTAATATCTTTAAACTTCTCTTACCTAACATCTATTCATCAAATATTGACTTTTAACTTTTTATTATGGAATTTTTCAATCATAAACAAAAGTAGGACGGAGTTAACTTTTAGACACGGCTGTATCATTAGAGGGAACCAGACTTTGGTAAGATGTCAGGCTGTAGCCCCTGAGAGAGCCTCCTGCCTTTGATTTGAGAGCCATGGCTCCTCTGAAAGTCCTTCCCTCTTCCAAAGCGGAGAACCATGGGCCGTGAAACAGGCTGGGTGTCTCTCATTGCCAGCAGTGCTTCTTTCAAGCAGAGCATAGGTTGGAAACCAATTATGTTGCTTCAAATGGTTGTCTCACCTCATGGGCACCACTGATCACCTCTCCACTAGGACGCTTCAGTGGGCATGTCAGCTGTCTTTACGGGGAATGCTAGGTCCCTTGACTGTTTCAACCCCATGGAAATAAAATACAAAATACAAATATTATCTCTCATTTCCAAGGGGATTATAAAGTTGGACATCAGGATGGCCAGGAGGTGCTCTTGGGATGAAATGAATTTAAGTGCAGAATTTCTTGCTGTCATTGCTGTGATTATTGTTTTGTGATGGTTCCTGAGTCTATGTCTGCCCTGGCAGGAATTTGCAGGAGAAGGCCTCCGAACCTTGGCCATCGCGTACAGAGACCTGGATGACAAGTACTTTAAAGACTGGCATAAGATGCTTGAAGATGCAAATTCTGCTACAGATGAGAGGGACGAACGGATAGCAGGGCTGTATGAGGAAATTGAAAGGGATTTGATGGTATGAGTTTGGAAACATGATGTTTTGTTTTTACAGAAGGAATAACTGTTTAGAGATCTAGCATGGGTGTAACCCACTGGCTGAATCGTCTTGCACACAGCAGATGTTACTCTTTCAAACACTGAATCCTGCTTTATATGTCAGCTTTGAGTTTGCCATATGTGGACAGAGGATTATGTCTATTAGCAGTGGCTTATGCTATTGGAAGTTCCCCAAGAGTAGACGATAGGAGACTCCCTATTCTTTGCCAGCCTCTGGTATAACATATTTTGTTTGACATTATGTTTTCTTCCCTCCATGCTTTATGATCCACCTTTCTAGAACAGAGACTTGCGATGAAGAGTGGGGCTATAGCTCTGGACTGTCCAAGACCCATGAGATTCTGATACCTGTACTGTCCAGAGTGTGATCTGTTCTAGAAACCACTCTTCCCTGAAGCCCCAGTGGCCATGATGCTTAGCTGTTGTGAGGTACTAGGGAGCACACCTTGTTCATCTTTGGATGAAAAATTGAACAAGCGCCTTCACTCTTTATTTTATGGCATCTGGTGGTTTGTTAATTTAAGAGAATGGCTCCACTTTTTTTGTGATCCTGACTGTGAGATGAGGGCTCTTCTTTGCTGGTGTAAGTGGGGAAGCAACTGGGGAATTCTTAAGTCCTTAGAAGCCCAAGGGGCTTCTGATCATTTTTGCCAATACATTATCTGAACATATCAGACCCCTTATGTAAATTCTCATTTCCAGGATCTCTGAATTAATTGATATGCCGATCAGTTGCCTTGATTTGGAAACCTCCTTCTGAGGTCCTTCCCAACCCATCTCTGTACGTAATAGGATGCTTGCTGTGTCAGTGCACCGTAAATTCCATCTTCAGTTCATGTTTCTTGACCTCTAAACCCTGGGGTTGAGAGCCATAGATGTTATGGATGTTGTTGCATGCATTAACATAAGTTATTCTCTGTTTTTCAATGAAGCTACTAGGTGCCACTGCTGTAGAAGATAAGTTACAAGAGGGTGTTATTGAAACGGTTACAAGTTTATCACTAGCCAATATTAAGATCTGGGTCCTAACAGGAGACAAACAAGGTAATTTGAAAATAGATGATGATGTTTCAAAAAGGGAGTGATAATTTCCATGGTAAAATTTTAATTAACCGGAAAGCTTAATTAATGAGACATTTGCCCAGTCCTCCACACAGAAAATTTGAGTTGAAATAAAAGGAAAGCTGACATATTATAAAAATTTACTAATTAAAAACAAGTAAAAATGAACTAACAAAATGTCTTCTATTGTCTACCCTGGAGTCAGTTCAGTTTCAGCTCAATTGCCTCTTAAATATAATAGTTAACACCTGTAAGCAACAGCGGTATTAAAAAGTCTAACTATTGGTTCATATGTGCACTACTCTCAGTTATGACAGGGAGTGCCCCAGCTCTGAAGGATATTGGAGACCTCAGCATTATTTCTTTAGTTTCTTGATAGTAGGGAGGTTTGGGAATCTTAGAGGAGGGGTTGACTTTGGAGAGGCTCAGGGAAGCAGCTGTTTATCAACTGGCATGGAAATATTTTGGTATTTTAACGACAACCACAGCTGTACCAGTGCAACCTCGCTGAATCCCAGGACGGCCCAGGCAGTGATACAAGGAGAGTGGTCCCCTTCCAGGCATGACAAGCACCAGGTCATCAGAAAGAGTCATTATGTTCAGAATACAGTGTTTCCTAAGAAAGAAAAGGGAATTAATACATTTTGGATCTATTTCTAGGAGTAATGGTTAAAACAAAAATGATTTTATGCTTAGCCATCAATAGATCAGGAATATTTGGTTAATGGGCACACGTGTGTTTAAGATTCAATTTAACTTTTTTTTTTTACAACAATGAGGGATTTGCAGATACGATAAATCAGTTCTCTATATGTTTGCTCAAATCACTGACTACAAAAAATTAGCAATAGAGACTCGATCTCTGTGGTGTGTTATATTAGAGGCTTCCTAAAGTTTGATGTTGATCAGTGGGTACAGCTGTTCAATTAGTTAGGCATATCTCTAAGTTTATTATTACTTAGCTTTAATTTTTGTGGTTTATACCAAGGATATGCTGAGGTTTTATCAGTTGTCTTCCTTGACTTAGGACAAATCTAATGACTCCATAGAATTCACTAAAGCCTAATAACTTGATAAAATTAGAATCAAATGACTGTGTTGAAGCTGGAAGGGGCACCTAGCTATCCTGGGCTCCATTTCTGTAAAATTAGAGAAAGGACTTCTCAGTATCGTGTGACTCTCCAGTTATTTAGTAGCACAGTCCTGGTTTGTTTTTGAGGTGATAGTTAAATTCCAAATTTCTTTTCACTTGATGGGAATATGGTAACATTGCATGTAGGGGAACTAGAAAAATTTATAAGAGCATTTTTGCTGTGCAACTGAACATTTTGTGAGCTTTTTTCAATTTGTCTATCATATCAGATGGAATAATAGTTAAGTTTAGTATTGCAGCTCTCCAAAGGCAGAATTTGGGACTTCTGGTAAATTTTTTTTAATTTACATGTTTTATTATATTAAAAGACCTTGGGTATTTTCATGAGTACTCATTTTGGGAATCAAAAGTTGTTTTCAAAAACCAGATGAGAATGCTGAGGATTCATAGATGTTGCTGTTTCTTCATGGATTTAACAAGTCTTTGAATTTCCCTCTGGGTCTCTTGTATTTTATCACAAATCATACTCTCTAAAGTTAAGGAGGCCTGTAGGCTGTAAGGAAATACAGCAATGACAATGCAAAAGGTGCTTGTGTTATTAAGTAATGATCTAACTGAAGTGGGCTTTATTTTGTATCAGAAACTGCCATCAATATTGGCTATGCCTGCAACATGCTGACGGATGACATGAATGAGGTGTTCATTATAGCAGGGAGCACGGCGGCGGAGGTCAGAGAAGAACTCAGGTAAGCACTGGAGGCAGGAGGACGGGAAGGGAGGGGAGGAGGGGAAAAGAGAGGTCAGAGAGTTGAGCAAGTGGAAAAATCCCACTGGAAGAAGAACATTTTAAAAGTCTGCATCATGATTTCCCCAGCACTTCAGAAAGTGCTGTCTTACAACAATTTCTGCTTGCTGATAGTTGTCGGAGCTTCTCTAAACTTAGCCCGCATGGGGTCTGGCCAAATGGCTCACTGCCTGCCACTTTCTACCCTCTAGAGGGGGTGAACCTTCACTCATCATGACAGGGGGCACTATGGGCTTCCTTAATGTGTCTCCGTCGTTAAAGTTTTGTTCCTGAACCTTGAGAAGAAAGGAGGTCTTAACTATCAGCACTAACAGTTGATACTCGTAGATCACATCTCCCGACTTCTTTTATACTGTCTCACTCACCGTAGAAAATGGCTGTATTATGCTGGTTAGAAGGTACAACTGGAGACTGCATATGCTTTGCCAAGTAAAAATTGGGAAATTGAATTATTACTGATATAATTTTATTATTATTATTTATATAACATTAATGGTACAGTCTATAGGGTCTATTAGGAAAATATTAATAATTTATTTAATAATTAGTAGTAATTTTTTATCTTAAGAAAATCTCTTCCTTTAAATGACTTTTTGTCTTGGGAGGAATTTAGCTCTTACCAAAGGAAAAAAGATGTCAGCAGATTAAGATTCTAACAAACCTATCACTAAATGCTTTGAGACAGTGCCTGGGACACTATGGCAAGCAGTATACATGCACTCTCTCATTTCATTCTCAAAGCAGCCCAGTGGAAGGCACTGTCATTACCCCCATTTCACAGATTAGGAAGCTGAGACACAGGTAGGGTGAATAAGGTGCCCAAAGTGGCAAACGAGTTGGGGTTGAACTGGGAGTTGAATCTAGGCAGCACGGCCCCAGAGCCTGTGCATCCAGTCACTGGCCATGTGTCTTTGTAAACACACTCTGGGTGTATTGTTACTCCCCAAATAATTAACATACAAAAATGCAGGCGTTGAGGCATCTGACGGCTTCACTTGAGGTCAGACACCAGATTAACACCTAGAGCGGAATGAATTCCAGGGAGAGCAGCAGGTGTAAGAGAAGAGGACAGACTCTGTGTTAACTGGAGCTGAGCTGGGATCTTGGCTTCATGCTCCTGGCTGGCTAAGTGACTTTTGATATGTGAGTCAGTCTCTTTTTGCTTGGTTTCTTCATTTGTAAAATGGGGAAAATATACAAATACCCATTTTATTTGGGAAATTAGTATAAGAACTTAAAGCTTTATGGCCATTCAGTGAGCATCCTTCTTCCCTTCCATCCTTTCTTTCCACTTCTTCCTTTCCTCTTTCCCTCTTTCCTCAGACATTGTTCCCACTCTTTCCACAAACAAGGATGACTTGCATTAATATTTCCCCAATAGAATCCATGGAGTCTACTATTAAGATTATGTAAATAATAAATTATATCAGTAACAGTGAAATAGGTTTCCCACTTGGGAAAGACACATGCAATCTTTGGTCACAGCTTCTAACCAGTATAATGTTGCAGTTTTCTACACCAGGTTGATGTAAGGCAGCCAAACGTTACACAAAACTTAAAAAAAATTAGGGAGTCTGTACATTCTGGTCATAGAAAAATCTACACTTTTCATTAATCTTCTTAAGATGTTGAAAACAGTAATGGTGACCCCCATACAACTTTGGTGGATCCTCTTCCTCTATTGATTACATTGGATAACGATACTGTAGGTTGATGGAACAGCACACACAAAGGCATTAAAACATGAACGTAATCCTGCTGTATCCCAGGAGCAATATGCCAAATTGTAGTTAAGAGTGTATCATCGAGTTAAAGGTGGGGATAATTTTTCAGAGACAAATTGGTGATAGTTTGAGTGACAAGCAAAAGTGACTATACTTTATCCTGAAGGTAT